GTAACGTCCAGACAGTATCTTACCCACGTGGGGGTTGAGTGCGTGGTCTTCGGTCCTATTAATAGGTTTTGTTAGTCGGAAGCTCTGTACGAGAACCACTTCCTTTGCAGGAAAGTTTCCTTCGGTGCTGACTCTCGGATGAAGAAATGACCCGGATAAGATACCGACGACTAGGAACGGAACAGCCCCGTCCAAGGGAATCCCCTCTCCAGCACGGTTTTTTATTATTTGAATCACACCTTTCTGCTACCTAGTGTTTTATAAACCGTCGATTAGCCAAGAAATTCATCGCCTCAAGCGCCTCACTTACCGAGGACTGCAGTTGCGTGGACACTTTTTTCGCGATATGAGCGTACACCAAAGATGGCCGTTCTGCCCTTTTCGCGTGCACCGTGCAAAAAAGAACGTTAGCGCTGCTTCTCGCGACGGTGATCCGTGGACTTCTGTCTTCGGCTTTCTAATTTCTGCCGGTACCGCCGGTGCCTGTACTCGGTTTCCATCTGACTGTGTGTGCGTGTAAAAGCGATAACGTTTGCGGTGCGTTCCGTTTAACGATCGTTGTTTACTTGACGAGGGGTTGTCGCACGGTAATTACCAGGTGATGCACACTAATTCTTAAATAGCTAACTTGTATATGTTCTCTACTTATATTTAAATCCAGTTTGCAAAACAAATTGTAACAAGATAAAGGCTAAAGTGAGCAGCGCCCAGGATGGAAGGTGTGCAAGATATATGAATGAGAGTGTCTGCGACAAAATTAGTTACAGAGAAATACCCCGTGATTGGCATAAGGTCCCGGGCGGGGGGCGAAACCGTTCATAACCCTTTATTGAAAAATTGACAACATGAATTTTCTATCTTATTTTTTTATTGGGATTAGTGCATTACGCAATGGAAATCTCCACAGAAATGTTGCTTGAGGGCCATGCAATAATTACGTAAGCATTTAGGGTAATATCTTACCAAGGGGGATAGGAATTTTGTTTAATTTTACGAAAACTTACAATGGGCAGGTTTAAAAATATAAAAAATAACTGCTCATGTAATTATTGCATGACCCCTTTGATTGACGAGGAAACGTGAAATACTTTTTATTTCATACGCAGTGCCAGATTTAGGATACTGGGGGCCCGGGGTTTCTATCATTAAGAGGGGGCCCATATTATCTGCTTTCGAAGTCTAAATATCAAATGCACGATCATATTTTTCCTCCTACCATCCTCCCTCCACCTTCAAATCCGGCCATGTTCACATGAACCTAGTCCTAGGTCAAATGCACTTCTCCCTTTCCCATTTACCAAACACCTATGGATTCTCCTATTAATATGGGACATTCATGTGAATAGCGATAGCATTCGTCCTATTTAGTTGGGCAGGCAGCTGCAAGAACAACCGTTGCTCAAAACTAACCCATTAAAGCAGTAATAATACCCTTTCAATGGCCTGTGTAATAACATGAATGGCAGTCACAGCAAATGATTGTTTGGCCTGTTCGCACCTGCAGCCCCAAAGGTACCACACGTTAGTGGCTGGTGCGGCTCATTTATATGTATGAAATTGCAAATCGACCGCCGACCATTTCATCCATCCTCCAACCGTGGCTGGTTGGATTCGACAATGCTCTGATGCACATTGTCCGGCCAATTCCGGGATCCATTTTAACTACCCCATACAGGGAGGGGTTCGATGGGGAACACAATAGCTGAATGCTCTAGAGATATACATGTTAGTACCAGGCAGCGGTTACCACTAATGCGATTATCAGGGATATAACGTGTAGGAATCGTAGATTAATAAAACTTTGCCTCGTACCAACTAATTTAATTACACCATTATTTCTGGTGGAACGTAATTTAAAACAATTTATTGGAAATTTCGTTATTACCCGGTAAACGAATTTATGATGTCGGATAGTTGGTGGAGCTAATTAGAAATCGGGTTAATATTGCAGCAAGTTTTTTTCCTTACCACATGCTATCGTTCAATTTGAAATTACATCAGCATCAGGCCCACTTCATTTTTCGAAAATATTAAATAAAGTCATCAACGACACTCTCATGGTTTGCATCTGCACAGTGCACATTGACGTAAAAGAAAGGCGGGCACGCTTCTGCAAACGCTTGTAAGTGATTGTGTTTCGTGGTTATGTGATATATATGTGCAATTAAATTAAGTACCCTAAGCCGGGGAAAAGCTGATCACCGCGTGAAATTAATAGAACAAACTTTTGAGAATCAACTTTCGGTTTTTCGAAAATGTATTAATGCAGAATGATTTGAAGGCACGTTTGACCAATATTGGCTAAGATCCCTTTTATTTATGGATGAAAAAATCATGTTGTCCACACATGCGTACAATCAGTGTTGGTAAAATATCAAAAAATAAAATCTCACAAACGCCCAAGATCACGCTTGATTTTCGTAGACAAAAATCAACAAGCAAACAACTGCGGTTGATTTTGCAAGCTGTGATATCGCAGCTCGGAATATCAAGCTAACAAAACTAACCAGCTGCAAATCTCAACAAACTGTGGTGAGATTGAGTTTTATGATTGTTGCTTTACACCCGAACACAACCGAAACTTCCATAACGGCTGGCAGCAGTCCCTTCGTGTCTGCCATCGGTGAAGAGTAAAAAGAGATAGCAAACTGGTATACTTTCTCTTTCTAAGAAAACGATGTGCAACAGAATCATTTTTGTGTCGAGTCGACTCTCCGCTTGATTTTTGCACGTTGTGAATAGTCTCGCAATATCAAAGGAACTTGTAAAATCAATATCAAGCATGATATTTTGTTCCAATATCACGCGTGAAATTGCGAGCGCATGAGAGCGGAAAAATATCAATTGATTGCTGATTTTGCCAACACTACGTACAATATTTATGAGTTGTAATAAAATCAACTCACATTCTGCAGACATTATATTCGTTAAATTAATTATATGGTTTCAAAGTGTTTTATGTTACTTCATACGGGAAATTTACGATTTTCAGAGTTGGTTGGAAATACTATCTAACATGAAGCTTTAGTGTGATAATTTATTAGCTTTAGAAAGGTTTGAAGAGGGTAGGTAGATAGTTCAGCTAGAGTACGGCAGTATGAAAATTTAATAGAAGTTGAATATGAGCGAAGAGTCATTATTGCGACAGTACTAGTCAAACGCACACTTCTTTACCTAACTCATCAATATATTAGGTTGAAACGGACTTACAGTCCAAGTTTCAACAACCCTTTTTGTGGAATTAATTTTTACCTCAGAAATAGGCAACCAAAGTGCTCGTATCAGTAGGTAATAAGGGGAGTAGCATGTCAATAAATCACTTTATTCGAGCACTAAAAATGACGTTTACTACCACTCGAACTTTGAAATAAAGCATTATTTTGAGATTTATTCTTCTAGAACCTCGAGAAAAGTAGCCAACATTTGTGCGTTTAATAAAATTATTAATTATGGGGTCCAGTTTTGTGAAATCGCTGGTAGAAAGTCACGCCAAAACTACTTGACAAAGTGGTCAATTAATCGATCAGACAACAAAGAAAATTTTAATACGAATATTTAGAATGAAGCACAATAGGACCGGAATAAAAACGAAATTTGGAAAACAAAAAAAGGCTTCTGATCACGGAAAGAGCACCGACTCGATTCAAACCACCGATCTGTAAAGTCTTAAATCGAATCTGAATCTAGAAGCTAATTGAAACAAAGTCTTAGTGATGGGGAAAACAATTTAAACGTAGTGAAAAATCCATAAGTGAAATGTGTTGCAAAGTAATAAAAATAAATTTATTATTTCCAGAGTCTATCCTGTTGAAACTTTTTGTGATTTCTTGTCAATAAACACCAGGCTTCAAGTTTCAAATTAGTAATTTAAAATTGAATTTATTACGCTAATCAAATCGACTTTTGGGAAAATTTATGGGAAAGGATATTGGAAAGCTTGTTGAATGCTTAGCACATCCTTGGATGTGGATTCTGCTGTAGAGTTGGACAAACAGCTAGCAAGGCAGACCAATCGGAGTTCTGATAGACGATTCTCGTCGTTTGGCGCATATGTCAGAGTTTTGGAGGCCCTACCAGGATCCTCCTTACAAGGTAGGTAGCTTCATATTTTACTGTGAGCGAAAAAAAAACAAGTTCATTGCTCAAGACTTTCAATTTCCACGCCAGTGAAATACTTCTTGGGGATGGACATTTTCTGTGCTGTTTATGCCCATTATTTTACGAATATCAAGCTAATTTAATTTTGGAATTCTTTACTCGGACGGTTCCAAATCAGGTCCAAACTATTCTCCCAAAAGTTTACATTTTTTCCTTATTCTACGCACCAAAGCCACCAATTGAACTTGTTTCTTTTTGACGCAGAACTACGTCTTTGTTTTCCATATGAGGGTAAACTTTGCGAGTATAAAAATGAACATGTAACGAATAGTGGTCAGGTTTTGAATGATTATGACTCAGCTATTTCATGATACATTTTCAATATTTTGGCATCAATCGATCAAGCATCGTCTAAAACATCGTGTAAATCAAAGAATCGATTAATCACTAGCATGCATTCCTACCCCGAGACCTCAATATACTGTACCATCCATTTTTTGGCATGTCAACAGTCAACCAGCAAAAACTACACACTTAGAAATAACTAATTTTACACGATACGTAATCCATATTGGATGTAAATCATGGAACGTAAACAAACATTTCATGTATAATTAAGTGTTCTCAAACTGAAACATAAGCAATTCGACGAAGAGAACGTTTCATTGAAATGATTTTCTTGTTTCTTTCAAAAGTCAAAAGTGCCGCTTACATGTGTCGGTCTTAGGGAACCTAAATTTACATGACATTTTCGTAGTGTGTATTTAAGAGGGCGGTGTCGAGCTCATTCTTGAATCATTCGCTGGCGGTCTGTTGAGCAGTACAGTCGACGTTTTTTCTCTCGCTCTCTTCGTTAGTTCGATTGCGTTGTTCCGTTTTTCTTTTTCTCGCGTTGAATAGAGATGCTCTCGCTGACCCAGCCATGGGTAAAAAATCGCGCGAGTGCCGGAAATCCCGGGAAACGGTCTAGGCCTGAAGACAAAAATGACAACGTGACTGCCGCGAAGAAGCTGCTCGACAACAATCGGTTCTCCATTCTGAAGGACGGTGCAGAACCGCTGACGGTAACAACAGGACCGCCGAGAAAGGACAGAATGTCGCCCTTCTACGTGAAAGGCTTTCCTCCCGGACTGCGGGAAAAAATAAACTTCTACATCACGAAGGGCGTCCGGTGCACCATCCAGCTGTGCACGGAAGGATACAAATTGATGGTTCCGGCATTAAAATATTACAAGACGGTACAGACCATACTGAACCAAGCACAGGTGGAGTACTTCTCCCACGACATCGAGACTGTTAAGCCGTTCAAGGTGGTCATGCGAGGACTATACGACAAGGACACAGGCGTCCTCTTGGAAGAGCTGGTGGCTAATGGACAAAAGCCTGTCCACTTACACAAGATGGCCCGCCACAACAAGGCCGTCAAATACCACGACCAGCTATACCTGGTCCACCTTGAGAAGAACTCAACAACTTTGATGGACCTCTAGGGCATCCGCGTCCTGTTCAACATTGTGGTGAAGTGGGAGCGGTACAAGCCGGTCAGCCGTGGAGTCACCCAATGCTTGAACTTCCAACTGTTCGGGCATGGAACGAAGAATTGCCATATGATCAGCCGCTGCATCAAGTGTGGCAAACAATACAAAACCGACGCCTGCGACAGACTCGATGAAGCCGATCCCATTTGCGCCAACTGTGGTGCTGATCACAAAGCTACAACTAAGGCCTACCCGAAGCGCACCGAGTACATCGAGATCCGGAAGAAAGCATCGACGAGAAATCAGCCTGGCCGCAGGACAAATGGCCATTCATCATTCGGCCGTTTGTACTGAGACCTAAACAACTATTCTGGCAGTCAGTGCTGAAAAGTGTCACTTTTCGACACTGTTGTGAATAACATAATGACCTTCTATTTCTAACTAAAATAACAGTGTCAAAAAGATCTATTCTTCGAAACTCTTTTTTTCTGTACAACAAATGTTTCAAAATTCGATTTTGTCAGTCGTAGTTTATCCAACAAAATCTTCTGTTAGCAAATTTGTTGCATAAATAGCTATTTTTGTATCAGTGCTTTTGAAGACACATTGTGTACATCTTCGAGAAATGGATTAGTTCTCATGTATGTGTGGGACGACTCATATATACGTATAATATTACTTCCAAGAGGATCCACTTCAATCATGTCGAAAATCTTATGTAATTTTTATGGCCACAAAAATAAACAAATGCAGTAAAAGCTGCATTTTGTCATTTCATGTACTATATCAATGATAATTTTGTCCTTTTTGGCAAGTAATATTACACCATATTCTCGACATGATTGAAGTGCATCCTATTTGATGTGATACCAAAATTATTTTTTTGCTTCGTAGTTTTGGAACAAAAAAAAACTTAATTTTTGGTTGGAGATGAGTAAAAGACACCCAAAGAATAAACTAATCAATCTACATACGTATACTTATACTTATACTCAAATTTGAGATTCCAGTTAAGTGAAAAGATTTTAATTTAGAGATACTTTGTTCTCAGTATTCACTCGGCTGTCGACAAAAGCAGACCACTCTCAATGTGTGTCACGCGATCGTCTGTTTTCTCGTCAGCAACCATTGTGTGGTCCTCCTCATTGTTCTCCATCAGCAGTTCTTTCGGTCGATGCGACGTCGACTTTGGAAAGCAACCGTTTAGTGATGAGCGTGTGACTGCTGACCACATTCTGCGTCCATTGCTGCAATGGAAGCGCTCTGACCCCCGTTGGCGTAACTGCCATACAATGAAACCACTGGAAGCGGCTCCAGTTCTGATGGAGAAGGCTTTTTGGATAGCGGAAGATAAAGTGTTTATTGTGTTGTACCTTTTGACTATAGTTTTAAGATGTATTGTATAGTGACCAAGAATCCTCGGCTCTGCGAAGTTAATTCGTTTGAGCATTATCAAATAAATTAATTAACAACAAGATACTTTGTTCTTACTGTGCACGGAAACTACCATATATAGGTTAAATGGTCTGTACAAAGTCAGTTTTCAACCAAAAACGTTCAAATTTTGCCAGGACCCGATTTGGAACTACGTCAGTATTTTAGAGCAAACATTTATTAGCGTCTATCATTATTGAATTGCAATGCCATTAGTTTGTCGATACCTCTTATTGTAGAGGTTTATTTTAATGTTGATTATAAAAACTAAAAAGCTGCCATTTTTCCGCCTGGTCTTACTGCAAAACAACAATGGTAATAAAAATAATTTCAAACATGTAGTTTCTGAAGTTGTTCAACAAAACGATATCCACTTCTGAATGCATGCATGCAACTTTCTGAAACTAAACAATTCGGCGTGAAACAGTATTCGCTACGTACCTACCGCGAACCAATTTATAGCAAAGTGAAAAAGTTGCTATCCCCGCGTTAAGCAACGGTAGCAACACTGCGCGCTATATATACATGTACATATCCGTGAAACATCCTGCGTTACACGTAGGTAAAGGATTCTTTATTCCGGTTACTTCCGGCAGGGTGGGTGAGCCAGTAATGGAGGAACTAAGACATTTTATTTATTAAAAAAAATAAATAAATATTCTCCATACAATTTGTATACAACAATTTTTAATATTTGCTGGAAAAATATTACATTGTGATTAAACTGTATACATCTATGGAAAACACGTCCTCCACTGTTCTAGTAGTTGTGATAGTTTCTAATTTTGATTCCTATAATAGTGGTTTCTAATGGATTCCACTATTAAAGGAACACTACAGCAACTATAGGTGCAAGGAAAACTTATTGTTCTCCGTCAATTTTGGGCTTATTTTAAGTTTTAAATATGCAAATTTACTTTATTTTAGGAGAGTTACCGATGAAAATTAACACTATCTGAATTTCTACCTTTATTCACCACAAGTACAGGAACACCTACCCTACCTAGTAAAACTACATCCACGTGTTGGTACGAGCTAGTGACTGTGTGCCTCGCTTCCCGCATAATCTGTGTGATGTATGGGGCTAAGTTGCAAATGCTGCTACCGCTGTTGTTGGCTGGCAGAAATAGAAATAAAAAATTCTCTTGGCTATAAAAGCAGAAAGTAGTAGGAAGTGGTGTACCGTCCTGGCCCTGAATGGAATGTAATTTCAGCAAATTATATTCATATTTTCGAGTAAGCAGATGTATAAAAGAGTTAAAAATTTATCATCCAACAGCTACGCTGGCACACACTTCCTTCCACATATTTCCTGAGACCCCGTACTTTGGGAGTGAGAAATATATGTGAGTTCAGAGTACGAGTTGCAATAAGAGAGCAACTGAATAGGGAAAAAACTGCACTCTGAACCGTCCTCACATATACACTTACCTTTGGGAGTAGGACTGCTGTCGTAAATTGTGCACTTATTTTTAGCCCGTACGATAGCCGGGTTGCTACGGTCCCTCAGGAAAGGATTATACGAATAAATAAACTTTCGAGTATAAAAAAAGTCATAAATTATCCGATAAAAGACAAGCAATTTGCAGAGTTCAAGTTCTTCTGTGGTCCTTGCTTTTTTGATTTCGAGAAGTTAGTAATTACTTTACTTGAGTGACATGTTTACATCAGATGCTGTGGTAACCTTTGTCAAAGTGAACGTTGGTCTATTTTTCGGACATTAGGCCATCATTAATATTATTCGAATGCATGGATAGCTCATTAAGCTTGACTTGTTTCGTAACTATGCCAACTAATAAGAGAAGGCAGGAATTCAAGCATGGTTCACCCGACGCTGAATATTCCTCCCCGATGCTTCCGCAATTCATGGCTGTAAGCTGTTCCATCCCATAGGACAAACTACGGCCACATTCATCCGATCGTCTCACCGTGCCTTTTAGTTTTTAATGCTGTTAATGTATAGTTCGATTTTAACTTGACTAAAAATGTGATCAAAAATAAGACAAATGCTTTAGTTTAAATTTACTAAACAAAAATTTTAAGATTGCACGACTCAGTTGAAGACGGTGATAATAATAAAAATAATAGCCCGTGCCACCAGGCAGCTATCCCGTCAAAAGCAGTGTTCAGCAAAAAAAACTACAAAACTAAAATCTGAAAAACTAACCATAATTTCATGTGCATGCCATCAATTAACGAGTGACCGAATTTTATGAGTTTTGAGCTTGAATGATTTTTCGGCGTTGTGACTGTGAATGTGTGGAAATGCAAGAGAATCTCAAGCGTGAAATTATATTATTATTATTATTATCTCTATTTAGGACCAAGCGTGAAATTTGTTTGTAAACTCGCACGTGGTTTATTCGCTCAAGAGTGCTCCATGAATGAGATTTGAGATTGTGCTTCATAACACTGAAGGGCTATATTTTACGCAGTAGAGCGAATTGCCTCACTACCTTCTGACCATTATTTCATTTTACGGATAGTCTTAGCTCATTGGAGGCTATTCGTTCAATGAGGCCGATGAAGCACTCCTCGTATTTCCTGCCTGAAATACGATCTAAACTGAGTGCTTTATCTAACTGCTCCTATACTATCACCTTAGCTTGGGTCCCATCTCATTGCTCAATTCCGGGTAATGAGAAAGCGGACTCATTGGCTAAGGTGGGCGCTATGGAAAGCGATATTTTTGAGCGACAAATCGCCTTCAACGAATTTTTCTCCATTGCTCGCCAGCAAGTCCTCATCAGTTGGCAACAAAAATGGAATGATGGTGAATTGGGAAGATGGTTACATTCTATTCTCCCACAGGTGTCGAACAAACCATGGTTCAAAGGGTTGGACATGAGCCGCGACTTTATACGCGTTATATCAAGGCTTATGTCCAATCACTGCTCGTTAGACTCGCACTTCTATCGAATTGGGCTCTCAGGCAGTAATTTATGTGCGTGTGGCAGTGGTTATCACGATATCGAGCATGTTGTTTGGTCGTGTACCTTACACCGTGTTGCCAGATATGAGTTATCCACATCCCTCAGGGCCCGAGGAAAACAACCCGCGATACCCGTTAGAGATGTCTTGGCGAGCCGAGACCTTGACTATTTGAATTTAATGTATGTGTTTTTAAAACGGATAGATTTGAGGATTTAGAAGTTAGTGTCATCTTGTGTTCTCCCAAGTTGTTAGCTACCCATCGGTGTACCCCCATGTTTGTCTTTTTCATCAGAGTGTCGCCTAGTTCGAGATCAAGAGCACATTGCTCTCCAAACCTTGTGTTCACAATCCCTACCCTGCCATCCATTTGTTACAAATTGTTACCCCTAACCTCGAGATAGCCGCGAGTAATTGGCCCCCGCTATACTAACGTTAGTTTTAAGTAATTCTGTTATCTAAACAATGAATATCGGCTCCGCAAAGCTACAGCAAATGAGCCTGGAAAAATAAACGAATTATTAAAAAAAAAAAAAAAAAAACACTGAAGGTGCGTTAACCTAGCTGAAGCACTGCACGCACAGTTGTCCAGGAATGAAAAATAGGGGTCAATAAATATGTTGATCCTGTAATTGCATTTTTACCAGCATAGTATTTGCTGTGAAGTCATTTATGTTAATGAAAATTACAGTAGGGTGGTACTTACAGTAACATAAATTATGATTTTATTTTTATATAATGATGGAAGCCTCTACATAGTAGAGTAATAGAGTAGTAATAAGTAGTAAAGCTTATGATTATATTTCTAAAAAAGTTTATATTATTTAAGATATCACTGTTAAATAAAATACTCAAATTGTAGTGAAAGTTGTCTTCTACAAACATTTTCCTACTCATTTATTTGCACATTTTTTCTGAAGGAAGCGTCTTGTTGGCAACAGCGAATAAGTTTCGAGACGATCTTGCACCGCCGCTGGCACTCTATACGC